CCCAGGTGTTCTAAAGGTCTCATCACAGCGTGACGACGACCAGGATTCAGCAGATCATGGGGATGGATCTGATCCCAGGTGTTCTAAAGGTCTCATCACAGCGTGACGACGACCAGGATTCAGCAGATCAAGAGGACGGATCTGATCCCAGGTGTTCTAAAGGTCTCATCACAGCGTGACGACGACCAGGATTCAGCAGATCCATTAGAGAAACAATAAAAATGTTTAAAGGTTTTCTCACTTTGCAGAGGAGACGATGAGCGACGAGTCCTTGTAGGCAATCAGGTAGCTCTGGTTCTCTGGGTTGTGGACCGTCACCTGAAACCAAACAGGAAGTTATCTCTATGCAGGCAGACAGGTAGACAGACAGACCCCGCCCCCCGCCCCACCCCCAAACACTGGATGCTCTTACGCTCTCCAGCACCCGCAGACAGCGCTCTGCTCCCCACAGCGACGACACCAGCTTCTCCTCCTGGTCCAGGTTCTTCACGCACTCTTTCACTGAGGAGAGGAACAGTTGGTTAAACACCAGAAACCATGAGCGTCGGCGCGTCTCCTCGCCGTCACCCTGAGATTAACACCTTTATCCACGATGTGGTCCAGTCCTCCCAGCAGCCGCAGCTCCTCTTTGAACCAGTCCCCTGCTCGCTTCGAGGTCAGGGACAGCAGTGTCTCCATGGCCAAATGTCCCGTCTGCAGAAGAGAAGACGTCATGAGATGCTAACACCCTGGATTACTGAGAATTAAGAATAATCTAACATGTTTCAACCTGAGGATTACAAATCTGAGATTATTGCATCAAATTTATGTCAAAATAAAAACAAAGTCTGTTCATCTACTTTCACGTATGGCTTCATTAACCTCCGCGCAGGAACTGCAGCGGTTTGACCTAAATGTGACGTAATCTCAGATTAAAATCCCCGAGCTGCAGCAGGTCACTCAGAGCTGCAGGTACCGTGATGTTCTGCAGGTCCAGGTGCTTGTTGTGCACCGTGTCGCACAGCTTCCGGATCTTCTCCTTGATCTTTGCTAGCTCTTTGGCACTAAACTGGATGCTGGAGTCCGGCTCCGTCCCGGCGCCGTGATCCTGGTCCAGCTCCAGGAGCCGGATCATCAGGTCCAAACAGGATCGGTCCAGGTCCATGTTCAGCCGGTCTCTGCTCAGGATGTACATCAGCGCCGCCGTGCAGAGAGCCAGGTTCTGCAGAGAGAGGGAGCAGCGGTTAAATCCCAGGATCAGACCGGGCCTTGCTGGCAGGTGGGGTGGGGGTGGGGGGTTACCGGGAGCTGAGGAGCGTCATTCAGCGTCTTGAAGACCTGAGCTACCTTCCCTCTGGCTCGGAGGTGCATCCTGAAGCTGGGCATGGCGCAGCGAGTGGCCAGGCTGATCACACTGAGGACAGCAAGCACAAGCATGGTCACCAGGAGACACCCAGACACCCTGAGGGCTCCCAGGGGGGGGGGCGGGGGGCTGTCCTACCTGAGGCAGCGGGTGTTGAGGGGCTGCCCGCTCTTCAGACCGGTGGCCAGGTACTCAAAGTCGTCGGTGAACTCCTGGTTTTCTCCAAACTCCACCACATCGTTGAAGTGCTTCACATGCTGGACCACTGTGTAAAGCTGCAGACAGAGACGCAGGAGAAACGTCCAATCAGGAGAAACGTCCAATCAGGAGAAACGTCCAATCAGGAGGAACGTCCAATCAGGAGGAACGTCCAATCAGGAGGAAGACGTCCAATCAGGAGGAAGACGTCCAATCAGGAGGAAGACGTCCAATCAGGAGGAAGACGTCCAATCAGGAGGAAGACGGTCCAATCAGGAGGAAGACGTTCACAACAGCTTATCAAAGATTCACAGAACGCCGCATTCTGCAGCCAATCAGAAGGATCTCTGAGCAAACAAACCTCTTTGTGTTCTTTATGACACTTTAGTGCTGTGACCGTGTCCTGGTACGGGTCTGTGGGAACAGTGACACACTTGGTGACCTTTGGAGGAGGGGGCGGAGCCTTGAAGACCCCGTCGTCCCTCTGGGCCTCGGCGGGCTCCTTGGTGGAGCTCCCAGTTGCCACGGTCGCCTGCAGGGATGAAGGATATTCTGAAGGACTTTCTTGGAGCCTGAGGTCCAGGCAGACAGCGCGGCGTGTTCTTACCGGGTTGGAATGTGAACGAGAGAAGAAAGGCGGCGGCGGCTCCTCCTCGCTCTCCATGGTCCAGTGTCTGGCGTTGTACACGGCTTTGGTGGGAGACTGAAACAGAAGAAGGTCAGGATAAAGAAGCTGCGTCATGTTTTCCTGATGTAGAAGCAGCCGCTCTGAGCAGAAACACGATTTATTCAGACTGTCAGCCCTAAATGTTGGACTCCTGAAGCGAGAAACCATGTTTGCTACGTATTATTGTGACTTTTATCAGGAACATGAGAGCGCTTCTCTAACAGAGGAACAGCTCGCTGAATTATTTAGAAATCTTTCCCTGACAGCAAACGTTGGGTTGTTTACACTCAGTGACTTAACGTCAATGTATTTCACACAAACAGGTGGAGAGGGAAAGGTTTTGCCGTCCAGCTAACCTGAGAGGAGAGGGAAGGAAGGAACGATCAGAGAAGCAGGTCAGAGACCTGAAAATCACAGCAAACTCTCACATTTCTATCTGGACTTAGAGGAGGAAGGTTTGTTGTTCTTTGGGCCAATATGGTGGATTGAATGGGAGGAAACCAACAGATAGTTTAAATGATAACTGGTGGGGATATCGGTACTAAATCATAAACAGATGCTGCGATTTTTTTCTTCATGATTCTACGAGAAAATTGGAGTCTTCATTTCCTAGAGATCAATAAAATATTGTTTCAGAGTCTAAGCCCCGGAGGAAAGCCCCGGACCCCCCTACTATGCTGCAGCGTGGAGAAAAAAACAAAACTGTACACCCTATGGCCGTTTCTCAATTCAAAAGAACACGAGTACGGACCCGTGTCCTCACCAAGTCTGGGTTCCTGACTAGAACCCAGTAGAGTCTGGACTCGGGGAGAACTGGACCCGCAGAATAAATGTGGGTCAACTGGAACAGCAGCGTTCTGATGACATCACCACATTCAACGCTGGTCTGGAGCTGCTTTTCCCTCCTGTTATTAATAGTCTCTAGATTATAATAAA